AGTGTCATATGATACTGTTCTCTAAGGGCCCAATGTCATGATTTATAGTGAATATCCTTCTACATATATAGCGTTATGAGTGTCATATGATATTGCATCTTCCAGGCTCAGTGTCAAATGATCCTCTACATATATGTTGCTATGAGTGTCATATAATACTGATCTATCAAGGCTCAATGTCATCTGATAATTGTACATAAAAATTATTCTGAGTGATGTTATAGAATACATGATACTGCAAGTGTCATACGAAATATAAATATATGTATCATACCATAAATAGTATCATGAATACCAAAAATAAAAAATAAATTCTGACCAATCATTTATTAAATATGTTTAGCTAATACTTTATATTATATATAAAAATAACAAATCACACATTGGAATCTATGTAAATATGATAGGCTGACACTTTCTATTACATCAAAAAAATAAAGCAGAATATTTATTAGAATCTATGTAGATATGCAATACATAGCGCTTCTATTCAATCAGTTAACATTGGCTCATTTAGTTCTAAATCATCAAATTGATCAAGCCAATTTGGTCGAGAAGAATTTATTCTAATCCTTTCTTAAATGACCTTTATTTCTTTATCAGTAAATTTCCCAAAAGATGATGGTGAAATTCTTCTAATTCGTTTGATCTCGTCTCTTCCTAAACCTTCTGTTTTAAATATCTTATAAATATTTTTAGCTGATTGTTTTTTCTTGTTAAAGATATTATGAGTCATTTCAAAGGAGAATTATTACCTAATTTCTGCATTAAGCAATATTCGTGCAGTTTGAAAAGGATGAATAGAGGTAAATTCAGCCAATTTCTTCTCCAATGCTTTCTTAAGAGGATAATGAAAGTCAAGAATTTCGTATTCCACGTGAGATACTTCACGTGTTTTTTTATTAAGAATCTTCTCAGCATGAAGTATTTTATTATGTAATCTGACAAATATCATTTCAGGAGTTGTAGGATCTCCCGTTTTCACATCTGACACCTCTAGTAATGGATTGAAGTCTTGTGGTCTATTGGATAACTCTTTAAAAAATTTTTTAACATTGTCATCTTCTCTAGGATTTAGCTTTACATCATCATCATCACCAAGATAAATAATATGTTGGACAACAAGGACATGTCATATCTTTTTTTAAGGAAATAATAATACACCTAAGATGGAAGCTATGAAGACAGGACAATCTCGCGACTGGTTCTAAGTTATTTTCATTAGTTTTGAATAATGGATCAGGTTCTTTACACCAAGAACAGGTGACAGATTCAGCTTGAGAATTGGTTGGTGTGATGATTTGATTCTCGTGATTAGTGATACTTCTATAATCAGACTCAAAAAAATCTTCTTCATTGGTCAATGAGGTCTGCGGAGCTATGCTATCAGATCTTTCTGATTCCATGAGTATTTTTTTTGAGATGTAGTTACGAAAGGGTAGAATATAGGGTTTTTATACTTCCTGAACACATTCCACTCATGATCACGAAATTATAATAACTGGAACTTACTAGAAGAAATACTCTCATTAATCTTTAGATAACAAAGCTCCTTTATTTTCAGCCGAAAATATGTAATGAGGTATTTTTGTCTAAACTTGAGCGAAAACTTTGGTATCCAGGTCTAAGATCTAAATTTCACGTGATCACACATACAGTATAATAATTCACTCATATTACATATAGTTTATTTTGTATTACTTTATCCAATAAAGAATTTTATTGATTTTCAAAACGTATGTC